ACCTTTCTCAAGTTCATGAAGGACTGTCAAGCCATTGGCATCACCTGCCCCATTATTCCTGGCATCTTCCCCATACAGGTGAAATCCAGTAATTCTGGTTTGGGGAGGGAATAAGGATCCAGGATATTAGGTGTTTGTGGGTCAGGGCCTGAGAGAGGTCTGTAAATATCCTCCATAAAATTTGTGGGAAGTGAGGGTGCTAAACGTGACAAATCTGTAGGTGGTTTGCCACATTAAACTCCTAGGCATGTAGCAATAAGCTTAAAAGATTTTCTGTGCCCATATGGCAAAAAGGGATATAAAGGACAATGGTCTACCAGTCCTAAGGTGTTATGCATCACTGTCAGCATGCTGGGCTCAGGCAACGAGTAAAGAAATGGGAAGAGATCACCTACAGTGACGTGACCATGACTGCGTTACCATCCTAGAGGTGGGGCCTAGGAGTAGCATCCAGGAGCCCCAATTCTAAATCTCCTGCCACAAAATCGAGATCAAGTACCTGTGTTACTGGGATGTCAGAAAAGGGCCTTGGAAAAATGAAAATCCCCTGCATCCTCATCCAGGGTTACCACTCCCTGCGCCAGCTGGTGAAGCTCTCCAAGTTGGAAGTGCCTCAAGAAATCAAAGATGTGATTGAACCCATCAAGGACAATGATGCAGCTATCCGGAACTATGGGGTGGAGCTGGCAGTGTCCATGTGCCGGGAGCTGTTGGATAGTGGCATGGTGCACGGGCTCCATTTTTACACCCTCAATCGGGAAGTGGCTACTACCGAAGTCCTTAAGCGCCTGGGCATATGGAAGGAGGACCCCAGGTGAGCAGAATATGCTGGCTTCTGTTAGCTCCTCTTTCACATACATCCATCCCATCTACTGAAGGTTCAAGCAATGGATGGGTTGGCACCTCTCCTCTGCTGCTTTTTTTTTTTTTTAAGCACCTTTCTGCATTTAGAAGTTCACCCTTCCTGCAGGTCTCTGACAAAAGCTGGGAGGAATAGAGGGGACAGCTGAAGGAGGAATTTGTTTTAGACAAGTGGCTTTAAAGTAGCCTATCCTGGAACTTTAAAAAACTAAACTCTTAGAGCTGCCACTTGGAAGAAACATGTTTTTTGAGGTCGGTCACAACCCCTCTTACAGGCTAGGTGCTATGTAAGCTCCCGCTGTGGATTTCTAGGGTTCTTCTGCAGCTGATAAAGGGAATGTGGGACTTCTCTCCAAGTCTACAGGCTTCAGCACAGACAAGAGAAAGCAAATGAAAATGGATAGCTGTTTTTTCTTCTTGTTAAAAATAGCTTCACACAGTGCTTTTCCCTTACCTCATTCAATTTCAGGTGTCAGTCCTGTACTTAACCATTTAATAGACACCTACTGAGCATCCTGTGACGGAACTGAGTGGGAAAAGATTTTCCATAAAGGAAGAATAGTTTTCTGTCCTACTTCTTGACAAATAGAACACTTCTCAGCCCCTGTTACTTGCTCTCCCCAGAGGCAAAATTCTCCAGGGGAAGGGCTTCCAGCCTCTAGTGGAAAGTCAGCAGAGGAACTGTGTTAACGTCTGCTCCTCCCATGCAGGCGGCCTCTGCCCTGGGCAGTCAGCGCTCACCCCAAGAGAAGAGTTGAAGACGTTCGGCCAATCTTCTGGGCCTCTAGGCCAAAGAGTTACATCTATCGAACTCAAGAATGGGACGATTTCCCCAATGGCCGATGGTAAGCTGTCAGCCTGCAGTGGCAGTGAGGTAGAGGTGTGGTATGAAAGCCTGCTCCACAGCTGGTCTCTGGCGTTAGTGGGTGTCCTGGGCACACTTTGGGCTTGACAGAACAGGTGGCTTCTTAACAAAGTCGTCCCCAGTTGCTTGGATTTGAATGAGGAGAAGAGAATGGCACCAAGATGTTAAGGCTTTTGGTCTCTAGGATTTTGTTGGATACTTCTTTTCCTGGGTGGCTGTCTTCCTGCATCACCAAATCAGCTCATCTTCCTCAGTGGCCTGTTAATCCTGTGTCTGCTCCCCTTACAGGGGTAACTCCTCCTCTCCAGCCTTTGGGGAACTGAAGGACTATTACCTCTTCTACCTGAAGAGCAAGTCTCCCCGGGAGGAGCTCCTGAAAATGTGGGGAGAAGAGCTGACTGGTGAGGAGAGCGTCTTTGAGGTGTTCACCTGTTACATCACTGGAGAACCCAACAAGAACGGGCACAAGGTGAGCGATGGCCCAGGAAGGGATGGTCAGTGTAGCACAGACAGTAGCACATATTTCCTCTTGCTCCTGGTACCACGTTGTTCTTCTAAACAAGAATTGGCACTTCCCTATCCAAAAGGACTTGCTGAGATAGTGGCTGAAGGGAATCCAGCAGGCAGAGCTAGGGCTCAACATAAAAGGAAAGCTGCTACAGTATGACAGGACCAGTACCAACAGACTTCAGCAGTCATTCTTAGAGTTGAGGATATCCTGCCCCTTGAACCAAACCTGGGAATTCTCTCCTGAAGCAGGTGTGTTTGGGACCATTAGGGCACTTCTGAGTTCCTTCAACATCCAGATGGTAACCAAAGGGTTGTTACATCCATTGTGAGCCATCCTTTCTCCTCACGGTAGGTTACGTGTATGCCTTGGAACGATGACCCTCTTGCTACTGAAACCAACCTTCTGAAGGAGCAGCTGGAGAAGGTTAACAGACGAGGAATCCTGACCATCAACTCCCAGCCAAACATCAATGGCAAACCGTCCACAGACCCCATTGTAGGCTGGGGCCCCAGTGGGGGTTATGTTTTCCAAAAGGTACTGCACTGCTCTGGGCTAGGCAGCAAAGAATTATGACCCAGTTTGGTCTCTGTTAGGTAGGAAGGTCCTAGGCTTTCACCCGGATAATCCTTCTGCCTGCTCCTTATCTTAATGCCTTCTTGCTGAGACAAGGCGAAGCTCCTTTGGTGTCTTAAGAGACAGACTATGTCATCTCTATAGCTTACTTCATAGCTGTTTTCCCCCACCTCAAAACATCTACTGAACATAGAGCTGCTTGTTTTACTCTCAGCAAGTAATTATTGGTAACTTCTTTATAGAGCAGGGCTATGAAGTTTTAGATACAAACATGCGCCTGCCCACTGCATCGGATCCCCATTCAGCAATGCAGGAAGCACCTAGGTTTTTCATAAAATGGGAATCAATGAGGTAGAATCTCTACCACCCATCTTCTCATGGTAATAACTGGGCATTTAAAAATTCCTCTGTCTGTCCTTCTCTAAGGCAGAGTTCTCCACCAATTGCCCCCACCCCACAGCACTACTGCTGTGCTGTTCAGACAGCTGCCAGGTTCCTTCTCTGGCCTGCAAGCAGGCTTATCTGCCATGCCTGCCTCCTACTGTCATGCATTTTCAGGCCCTAGAGCCTTGCCACTAATGGCTGTGATAGGAATCTCCCATCAAGGTAAATGCCAAGCAAGTGGCTCATACTAGGAAACAAAGCAGCCTTGTTCAAAAGGGATCCAAACCGCTAAAGCCATGAGACCAGCAGATGGCAAATGCAGTTATGTTTTCAAAGGAAAAAAAATCCCCCGAGGTGAGGGGAAATCCATCATCTGACACAATAGCCAGGAAATGGGGGGAGGGGAAGCAGTTGTTGGGAGCAGCCAAGCACAGAGCAGCAGTAGATGGAGCAAGTACAGTTTGGTTGTATAAGCACACAGGGAGAATTGTGAACAAAAGATGAGGACAGGGAATGGTAGGGTGCTTGAGAGAGCCCAGCTGAGACCCCCGACTTTGCTCCCACCAGACTAGGCTGCCTTGGCAGAACACTGCCGTTCACAGGCTACCATGTCGAATAGAGGTCAAGCTCAGGCCTCTTCCAAGCACTCTGCTCTGTCTGGCACAGACTGCTTCCTAGGCACAGCAGTTACGGTTAACACTGTCTGGAGCTTATTCCAGCCTGTCTGCTTACGTGGGTGCAAAACGGGAAGCTTGTAGCTTTCCTGAGCTGGCTGCTCCTGGTCTGTTACCTCTGCTGCCACCAATTATTCCTGCCCCCCCGCCCCAGCTCTCTTACTAATTTGCTCTGCCCTTTGCTCAAGCCTCCTCTGTAGTACACGTTTCTGGGAATGGACATACAAGTCTTAGACTGCCTGGTTTCCAAGCAGCCCAGACTCTACAACTGTCCTCTTGGTTGCCTGTATTTGTCCCAGCCCTGCCATGAGTTAAGGCTCTCATTCTCCTTCCCCTTCCCCATCCCTCCCTGTAGGCATACCTAGAGTTCTTCACCTCCAGTGAGATCGTCACGGCACTGCTCAAAGTGCTGAAGAAGTACGAGTTGCGAGTGAACTACCACATTGTCAATGTCAAGGTAGGCTGTTGTTTACAGGACATTTTCCTTTCACCACCTTGGGAAAGAGGCAAATATCAAAGATTCAGATGTCACTGCGAACAAAGTGGGATATGAAGGGTGATGAAGGGAAGGGAAAGTAAAGCAAGTCAGCTGTGATGTGCAGCAACTGTCTGATCTCTTAACAAGGAGAGGGTAAATGCACTTGTTCCAACTCACTCAATCCCTCCTCCAGCAGTTGCTTCAGAAAGGTTTTGCTTCCTTTGGCAGGGCCAGAATATCACCAATGCTCCAGATCTGCAACCCAATGCTGTCACCTGGGGCATCTTCCCGGGCAGAGAGATCATTCAGCCCACTGTAGTGGATCCTGTAAGCTTCCTCTCCTGGAAGGTGAGTCCTCCCTCCTGCTGGATACATTGCTGTGGTGCCCTGGAAGTTCGGCGTCTCTGGTTTGTTTTCAGTCTGTGACACTTCTCGCAATTGAGTACTGTTGTGGTATTAGCTTGCAGAGGTCCAGATATTGCTCCTCCTGCTCTCTCCGTGTAAGGAGAACTTTGCTCCGGCAAGAGCTCTGCACAGACACCAAGTGCCCAGTAACAGGAGGCTTGGGAGCTACCACTGTTACTGTACTGGCCCCCAGAGCTCTGGGCAGCAGCTCTCCCTCCCCTCCTACACGCACAGGGGCAGCATTGAGCCATTTTACTGCAAACATGTCTCCGTTCAGCTCTGAACAGTTGGGTGCAGGGCACTTCCCACTGACTGGAAAGCACGAGGCTCCTTGCTCAGCTCTTGCAATTTTTACTAAGAAACAGGCCACAGGCTGGCTAGGCATGTGTGACACCGGTGGTCCTAAATGAGGTAGTATGAAAATGCAGCTCTCTAACATGTGTATTACACCACTACACTTTTTTTTCCCCCCCTTGGCAGGATGAGGCCTTTGCACTGTGGATCGAGCAATGGGCCAAGCTCTATGAAGAGGAGTCACCCTCTCGCATGATCATCCAGTACATCCATGACAACTACTACTTGGTCAACCTGGTGGACAATGACTTCCCACTTGAAAACTGCCTCTGGCAGGTTGTGGATGATACTTTTGAGCTGTTGAACTCTCCGACTCAGCAGTGAAAATTCCTCTTATAATCCCTTACTTCCTCCTTCCGTCCACTGACTGCGGGGAGAGAAAAAGCAGCTCCTGTGCTGATGGTGGACCACACACTCCTAAACCCAGTGACCAGGCTAGCTCTGCCATCTACCCACACTACATGCTCTTCTATCCCCAACACAAAGGCTCCCTCACCCCCGTTCTCACTGAACAACAGCCAGAACTACCTGAACCTCTGAGCTGAGGCTCTAGCCTGAGCGTGAAGGCCAGCTCTGCAGGATGAAGAGGTGCTAATCGTGGCTATGTTGATTACGGTAACAGGAGAACTCTTGTGCATCAACGGTGATAAAGCTCAGTGGGATTCTGGTAACTTTCTCATGCCAGAAACGCTGCCTTGGGGGCAGAAACACTCCTGTCAGCAGTGCCTAAGCAAGGAGACTATTTCAGCAGCTGCCAACCCTGAAAAGAAGCTCAAGTTGCACTCCTAAGATGTATTTCTTCATATCTGATCATATCAGGCTCTCTTTTGCACTCACTCCAGAAGAAGGTTCAAATTTTCTCCCTAACTTTTCTCCTTTTATTATATTTCCCATTTTCTTTTTAATAGGAAAATGTGAATTTCAATTCTGGATTAGACTGAGTAGGAATCACACTATTTCTTAGATTAAGTACAATAAAATACACAAATACAAATGTCTCCTGTACTAGCCCATACTCTTATAAGTAGCAAAGACTCATGTTGTTTGCAAACTAATCAGCCTGGCACAAGGGAAAGTTTTAAGAAAACCAATTGTTTATGGGGCAGTTCTGCCTTCACTTTCAACACATGCCCTAAGTAAAGTATGGACAAAGCTCCATGGTAGAGCAAAGAAAGCTTAAATCCTAGAATTTACCAAAAGCAATCAGCTACAACCTTTGGCTCAGTTCTGCAAGGTCACAGGAGTTGTGGTGGTCCTTTTCCAGTGCCCGTAGGTAAAGATAGCCTATCTTTCCTGACCTAATGACTCTTAACAGCCTTAGGCCCCACAGCATTGAAATAAGGGGTTGGGAGAGCTATGGAGGCTGCTTTGTGTACTTAACAATCCTGCAAAGCTACCACAGGCTAGGAAAAGAAGACCCTGGGGGAAATCCCAGTGGGATTTCAAGATCCCTGCCATGCTGTGAGCATCTCTTTCAAACAAGCAAGGAAGAAAAGCCTTTTCCAGATTCTTCAGACCCTCTCATTACAGCTGTCTGAGACTGGGCTCATATATCCAGGGTAATTACAGGGCATCAATCACAGAGGCAAGTAATGGGAAGGCTGGGGGTCAGACACGCCTGTCTTGCCTCAGCAAAGCTTTTGGTGCTCAGCTGTTCCCAGCAGGTTTCTTCATCTCTAGCCCATTCAGCACAGAAAGGAACCAGCAGGAAGCAGTCAAGAGGTTGGCCACCCACTGAAAGGCTTAATGAAGAGCTGATGGACCTAGGCAGGGGGAGGAGGTGGGAGCCATGTGGGAATCCCCCCCCAGGGGAAAAGCCAAATCTAAAAATAACGACCCGTGTTTGCAGCTACCAAGGACAGTCCAGACTTTGGAATCAACAGGATGTAGCATTTGCACAGGCAGGCTCCTGCTCATCTCTTTATAAAGACTGATGTATTTGCTTACTCCCCTGCGTGATACTAAACTCCGGTCCAGGAAAAAACACAGAGTAAAGGGAGAGCCTATAAGGTGTTTTTTTGACCTTTAATCAGAAGTCCAGCAAAATCAGGGTCCAGAGGAGAAGGGAATGCAACCTCACAACAAAAGGGAGTAACTTCTCAATTTGTGCCTCTAGGGAGGTAGGCTATCAGTCCTTTAAAGAGGACCTTTCACTAGGTACCATCTCTTCCTGGTTGTCCTTTGGCTATCATGCTTCTGGCCTGCAGCACTGCTTTTATTGCATGAGCAGAGTGTTCACTTTCTTGATTGCGCAGGACCAGCTCTTTGTTGTGACAGCCAGCTGTATCCTCCATGTGTCCTGAAATGAGCAGCAGCTGCAGGCAGGCCCCCACCTTTCAGCAGCCTTTGTCCTTGAGCTGGAATGCTGTTAGCTGGCGCCACCTTCCAAAGGCCTTAAATAGTAAAGTGGACAAGTCAAATACTCGGGTTACCCTTGAGGGGTTGCAGCCACCCTCCCAGTACCCGTAAACAAAGCTTTTCCTCTAGCAATGGCTAGGCCAACTGCCTCACCATTCACTCAGGGCCCTTCCCTGTCTCCCCTATGTTCCTGTAGCCAGTAAGTGAAGTGCAGAGTACAAATCAACGTGAGAAAAGGAAGACCAATGCCCCCTCTGCCCTCTAATTTCAGTACTTGCTCACATCTTGTTAAAGGAGGACCTAATCCTGCATGGATTTTTGGGAGGCAGGCAGAGGAACGAACTGGCTGTTTGAGCTCTAAGGCTTTGCCTGCTCACTCAAATTTATAGCAATTTGCCTGCCCCGGGTGTAAGCGCAGTCCTCCTGCACCAACGTGGAGCCTGTTTCTTCTCTGAGTGGGCCCTTGAGAGGCAGGGGATTAGTGGATTAACATCTCGGATAACAGTGGGGAAGGGGGCACACATCAGGGAAATTGACTGCTGACACAAAGCTTTGAAAAACACCCAAAGATGAACCCATATAAAGCTGGAAGCTATTTCTCTTTGTTCTGGGCAAGTCCCATTCCCTTTTCCCTAAGCAAGTGCTTTGTGCAGAGAGACATACAGGGAACACCAGTTGTCCCTTTGGGGTGCTTTTTGGTTCACTGAGGTCCAAAGAATTAAAGCAGTCATAAATGCTTACCTGAGATAATAGGCTCCTGGCTTCCTCCTCCAAAAAATTCTGCACCACGCAGCTTTGCAAATGTCGTCGTCTCCACACCCTCCAGGCCTTTTCTATCAGCCGCTGCTGGTCCTGCCAGGAAAAGAGGCAGCGCACAGATTAGTTGGGCTCTGGCAGGCAAACTACCTCACTTCCCTCCAGTCCCACCTTGCTTCCAGTTGCTTTCCTGGGTCCCTCTTGAATGACTTTGCATTGGTAACAAACAAAGCTGACTACTAACAAAATTCTTGCCGAACTACTGTCTCCTGCAAATATTGTGGCTAATTACGTCACAGTACCCTGGGGAAAGGACGGTGCCCCATCAGTGCTCCAGCACAGCTCCTCAGTGACTATGGATGTGCTCGCTATACATGCATCATCTTGTCCCACAGGCAGGACAGAGCACATCTCACACACCTAATGCCCAGGAAGCCAGACAGAACATAGGTCTGTTCCACAGATGGCTAGGGCCTGAGCAGAAGGGGAGGCCAAATGACAGTCCCCTTGGTAGGCTGGGGACACCAGAGGGATGTATCAGGAACACAGACAAGGACACAGATTGTAATGCTTGCTGTGAACTTTTTGCACAGGCTACAGACAATCTATACAAATCACCTTGCTTCAGCTTCCCATCTGTAAGATGGGGCAAAGCACAACTAAATATGTGGATATGCCAGTCTGCCATGCTGGCATTTCAAAGAGAAAGATGGAAAAAGTAGCCATAGCAGCAAACCAGGGTTTCTGGTGCACTCTGGTTCTTGTTAAATCCACAGGTCTCATCTCCCTGGATGTATGTGAGGCTGCAAGCAGAGCAGGCTTGCCCAGTAACACCTATCACTGCCACCCTGGTGGCAGTACCAGACACTCACCAACACCTGAGCCAGTATCACCACCCTGCTGGCTTCCTTCCACTGATGCCATCCCCTTGCCAGACAGCGCAGTCTCCTGTCACGCTGGCACCGGCGAATTATCACCGTGTGATGCCACCACCTCACATACTTCCTCCTATAGGCAAGAGGGGAAAATAAACTTTATCAGCCCAACAGCCCTACAAGGGAGTCCTTCCCTGATGGCAGCAACAAGAGGAAGCCCAGAGCCCTCCACTCCACTTACCCAAGCCACTTCTCATCCCACCCCTCCAAGTCCACCTCTGCTTTGTTCTCCTGGATCCTTGCGTGTGCAGGAGAGGGTCCTACCACACCAGGTCTCTCTACCAGATGAGGGACCAGCAGCCTTTCAGCCCTGTTTTGACTTCTGTAGATCACTAGCCAGTGGTGAATGGCACTGGGAAAAAGCCCAAGAGGGGCAGCTGGTGCTGAACCCTTTTCTCTGCCTCTTCTGCTTTCTAGGAAAGAAAAGAGGAATCACACAGGAGCTAACCTCGGAGCTAGAGAGGGAGAGATCAGAGCTGCCATAAGCCCTTAGTCCTTTGGCTCCTGAACACAGAAGCAACCCACAGTCAGATTCAACTGCCATGATCAGCTACTCCACAGAGGAATCCCAGTCATCTGGCTGGCAAACACCACTCCCCTTCCCTCCTCATTCATACTCCCCACATGGCCCCATGAAAGGAAGAGAGGAGGGGGCATCTTCTTACTCATGGACCAAGACAGAGACATCTTCCTGCTCTTCCTAGCACCTATCAGGGTACTGCACTGCCGTGAGCACTGGGAAAAGGCAGCTGCTTTTGTCCAGTAGTTGCAGGCCTGCAAACAGAAATAACACAGCTGTAGCCAAGACTAAACACAATGCGCACAGCACACACACAAGCTAGCCTTAGAGATACATTTATGTTCATATCCCTGCAGGTAGTTTAATGTGCTAGACCCCAGGCTGGAAACTGCACAGATGAGATCCCAGCAGGACTGACTCAGCCCTTCCAAATCAATCGACCTCTTTGTGGTTTGCTAGCTGTGAGTCTTTTGAAAAAAGCTACAACTCTGACAGCTCGCTCTGCTCTGCGGGGACAGTGATTATCCCATCTCATCTTTGAGCAGAGAGGAAGGAGTGCTCTTGTCTCTCTGGTCAAAATGTCCCCAATTCCTTATTGCTGTGCTCCAGATGGTTGCTGCAATCAGTGCCAGATTATGGTGATGAAGTTGTGTGCACAGCCTGTAAAGAACTTAAAGGCAGAGACTAAGCAGTCACAAGTCAAACCAGGTTTTTATACCAGCCTTGTCACTGTATCTCGGTGCCTAGTGACCCAACTGAAGTCTTCACAAGAGAACAGGCAGTTAAGAATAACTGTCTCATAGGGACATTCATCTTTTCTTACCTGTTTTACGGCAGCCACAGATCCTAGGTGCAGGGCTTGCTGTCCTCTTGAGGCCAACCGCCAGCGGTGACAGGCTTTACCCTGAGAGGTTCCCTGCCACTTGTGGTTTCTCTCTCCCAGCACCTCCTGTTCAGCTCTCAAGAATTTCACCCTCCACTCAGTAAAGCTCACAACTAGGAGATGGTGCTCTCTGACCCTTTTAAAACAAGAGAGGGCTTCGTGCTGCCTCAGTCTACAAGCAGTGACCTGGGCCCAAGTAACTAGGCACCTGAAAAACAATACAAGCGTAGAAAAGCAGTAAATGCCTAAAGTCACATTTCCATGTCAGCACTGAGCAGGCTATAGACCAAATTCCACCTTCTCACCCCACCCTGCAGTGTCACACGTAAGTAGTCAAAGCAAGCGAAAGAGCATTCAACAAGAAAAAAGACTGTTCCTATTATTCCTCTGCGATCAACATTTATATATCTTTCTCCATGTTACTTATATTTCCAGTGCCTTGTCCTTGGGAGGTGTTAAGTTCAGACTCCTCACTACAGTTTCTTTCTGCTAAAGACTTGCCCTCGTTTTACTTCAGATTCCCAGCACTGTTACCTCTCAACTCCTCAAAGC